AAAAGTAAATGTTTTTACTTCTTTTTAACATTAAAGATAAAAATGAAGAAGATAGCTACTTTTTTATCTTTGTTTATCTTATCCATTCAAAATATCTTTGTTAAAGTACGATTTTCATAAGTCTAGTCTTCGTTATGTAAGTTAATAGCGTATTAGGGAACAAAATCAGTCAAAAGCTTAATACACATTTAATAAAGTTTTTCTGAAGATTATGACCATAAATGTATCAATGAAAACAAGATCCTAATCATTAATGAAAAATATGTGTGTACGTTAGTTAAGTCACCTTACATTTTTGATCGATAAATATTTTCAACATAACGTATAATATAATATATGTAACAAGGAAGTTAAAGGTAGTAATTAGGAAAGCTACACCATTTGTTGAATATATAGTTTTCAATAGCTCGAAGCAGCTGATCTTGGTGAGGAGTCTGCATTGTTTGTTTAGCAGAATTTAAGAAAATTTATTGGTCCCATTTGAGAAAAACGAAAACTTTCATGATTGGGAGCTGATACATACTCGATAATCTTCTTCCTTCCGATCAATTCGCCACTATTTAGTTAAAAAAAACAGTCAGAAGAGTCGACACTTTGTTCACAAACATCATGGATAACTGATTAAGTTCTAAGTTTTATATACATTTTTCTTTCTTCTACTATAATATTAATATTAAGTACGATATACATATATGACTTCTTATCTTCTCTTTTAGGTATTTCCCAAAACTCTTATTCTCTTGACAGAAAGACCTTTTGAGTCGACCAATTCCTTATTTTGTAGCCTTGCATGATACCTATTTCTAATATAAATTTTTCGAGATCCATCAAATTATTAATGAATGCATCTGAAATTTTCAAGAGATATTTTGTCATGGCAGATCATCGTGTCATGAAAGTTGAAGAAGGAAAAACCTCATTAAACAGAAATGGCACATTGATAAATATTATGAAATTGCTAAGATTGTGAAGTATTTATCACACAAGTAAATGAACTCGTCTTTTCAGCAATGAAAGACCATGGGTTAAGCTACAATTTGATGCTAAAAGATCAATAATTGCTTGTACATGAGATGAAAAAAAAAGAGCATAATTTTCTAAAGTATCCTTTTTGCTCTTTTTTTCTGTCAAAGCGAGAAAACGCTTCGTTTATCAATATATGACTGGAGCGTAGTTTTACATAGTTTTCGAGTTTTATAAAATAATAAAAATCGTCGTGTTCTAATTAGCTATCTAAAGAGCCTTCGACAGGAGTTTTATAATGAATTATAACATATAACGATAAAATTTGGTATTACTTTCTCAAAAATATCATGTTTTCAAGACTATGGAAGACAGCTATTAGATAATGCCATGCTCTAACTTGATATAGCAATTTCTATTAAGCTCTTATTAGTTCTCACTTCAACACTGCATGTCCTGACGCAAACGGTTAGTTTTTATCGTTTCCAAATAACTTCAAATCTTCCAAACGATTTTTCAGTCAATGCTTGACATACGACAACGTTTTCGTGCTTTGTCAGAGAAATAGCAAGAAATTGAGTGTTTTAAATAATGTGTCAATGTTTTATCTCATGTATGAATAAATATCAATCTTTTACCATCAAATCGCAGATCAATTTATAGTGCTTTACAGTTCAAAAGATGAGCTCATTTGCTTGTTTAATGAGAACCACAAAGTCTTTACAAGTTCACGATGTACCATTCATGTTTAATAAGGTCTTTTCTTCTGAAACTTCCAGAATACAGTGCCACGGCATGAGAATATGTCTTCTAAAAATTTCAGATGAATTCATCAAACTCTTGCTGAGTTATGCTCGATAGTATTCTATCGTTTTTTGCGTAACCATATTTTTAGTAATAATGACCCAATCTCTCAACAGGTCGATGAACTTTGCTGTAATTTAAACCAAAAATAACTACAATGCAGAACAACAAACTGGGAGACTGACTGACTGAAAAGATCTTTCTATTCTCGATTTACAAGATCCACAGCGATCATGGCTACTATCTATCGTGATTCCACTGCATCTTGAACGATTTTGATGCTAATGATACCAGAGATCTACCTTGTCTGCGAACTAGCAACAGGCAAAGTTTTAAATGCTCAGCTCTTATACGAATTCAGATCCGATTAGACAAAACACTTTTGATTAATAGTGTTGATTATTTAAACCAGCAAAGAATTGTCCGAGATACGTCTTTATTGACTTGTTCAAAAGCGTTAGTATATCTAGTTTTATTATATTAAGTATGTTTACAAGTGAAACAGTAAGCACAGCAAAAAAGAAAAAAAAATAGGATAAATTGCACGCATACTGTTATGTTGTTCTTCTATAAGATTGAATTAAAATTAATATTGCTTGATGCTGAAGATGACGATGAATTAGACGATATATTTTGTTCATCTAAATGTGTTTTTTTATGTAATTTTAAATGAACAAGTTGTGTAAACCGTGCTGAACATGCATGATTTGGACATAAATATGGTTTATCTCCAGTATGTAAACGAAGATGCGTTTTTAAATTTGATGTTGATGAAAATCTTTTTGGACAATATGGACATGAATGTGGTCGTTCACCTTTTAAAAATATTTAAAAAAAAAGAATAAAAAAAGGATAAATATCATTTTTTTTTATTTACCTGAATGAACAAGTGTATGTTTTTGAAGATGAGCAAATTGTGTAAATGATTTTGGACATTGTGTACATACAAATGGTCTTTCATTTGTATGTGTTCTTAAATGTACTTTAAGATTGGATAGTTGACTGAATGTTTTATGACATTGAACACATTCATAGATGATTTTTCCATTTTCTTTTCGTAATGGATACGGTAAAGATTTATGACCACGACCATGAACTACAGTTGTGCTTATTGTTGTTGTTGTTGTAGATGACGACGATGATACTGTTGTTGTTGTTGTTTTTGGCAAAAAATTCTTACCTAATATTCTTTCAATAGAAAAATTTAATTGTGATGATTTATTAGTTGTTGAATTAGATTGTGTAGATGAATGCATTTTGTCACAAACTATCAAATAACAAAACCTTTTTTTTTGTAGAAACGAACGATGATTTCTCTATGTACCTGTTGATTGAATAGGAGTTCTTTGACAAAGAGTTGAATTTGACATTGAACAATTTCGTTCATCCACTGATTTTAATGGTACATTTGAAGAATTTGTTTGTAAAGTATATGGAAAAAGAAATGGTAACTGTAATATAATAAAGTTTTAAAAGAATTCAAAAAGAATTTTTTGTAATCAAGATTCTTACGCGAAGATCTCCATGGGCAACATATTGACGAAAAGGCCACCGAGAATGAGGTTGCTATTTGAATTTAAAGATAAAAAAAAGAAAAAACAAAATTCCTTTTTGTTTACTTCATTACCTTTTGTTCATTAAACCATCCTGTTGATTGTGGTGTAATCATTCGATGAATCAATTCATTTGAAGGAATTTTTATATCATCTTGAGTTTTAATCATAGGAATATGGCTATACGGATACTGTTTATTACGAATCATGCCTATAATAAAAAATTATGATAAAACTCTTAAATGTTGTATTTTCTCATATAAGTTACTTTTAGTTGTATCACTTTTCATCATTATCATCAGTTTCAAGCAACATCTAACAGTTGGAAGTACTTACCAAGAAAAGAAAGTTAATTATTATTTCTCATAGTAAAAATGAAAGAGAAAAAAAAAAGAATTTCATCCAATCAATTTTCTCTCCGAGAATATCATTCTCTCTCTTATTTCTTTTTTTTCTTTTTTCAACAAACCAATAAGAACAAAAGCAATCAAGTCTATTTGCCATCGTCTTCTTAATAACAGACATTTTCAGCTCGATTGACTGGTCTATTCTATTCTAAAATAAACAATTCTATAGTTCACTGTGTGTATTATTAATTGATTTGAAGTATATTATCAGGTATCACTATTACATGATTATAAAAAAAAGAAAAAGAACCTATTAAACAACAATAGACACAAATCGATAAGAATTTTATTCTATGTTTTTGATGATCACATACAAGTATAACTACTCAAAATTAAAATAGAAATAAAAGTTTATTTAAAAAAGAAAAAAATAATAACATATAAATGTCCACTTGAAATTCTATGATGAATAGACAATCTGTTCTAATAAATAAATGTTGTTTTTTTTTGTTTTATTCTGAAACCATGTTGTGTATTTTTATAAATTAAACCAAGTAAAGATGAAGTATGTAATCGACAGTGTCAGCTTTCTATTTTGATGAAGAAAAAAAAAGAAGAGAAGACGAGATCTAAGAAAATTTAATTTGTGGGTAAAGCAGCAATGGGAGAACTGTCATTTGATTGAATTGAGATTCATTCTATTTTATGTTTGTCTCATGTTAATTCATGCTTAAAACTCGATTCGTTTATATTCGCGTCATAAGTTAATCAGTGTCGAATGGTGTAATCATCGACTTTCTTCTTTTCCGTGTTCGCCTTAGTTTTATTCAATGAAATTTGAGAACAATAACAAAGCAAATCGTTTGAACATAAAATAGGGTGGAGTCATGTCGCCGTCTTTTCAAATAGAAAAAAAGTCGATAAGAAGAAAAAAAAATGAGACATATAAAGTGCTGTCAAATGACATTTTGCCTCTGTTGTTGTTGATAAGAATTGAGTCTTTGTCTTCTTGTCACCCTCCTGTGCGCACATTCTTTTTCTTTTCAATAATCATCGTGATAATTAGAGAGACTAAAAATCACCTTAATATATATATATATGAAAAGGTGTAGAGATAATGAAATGTACTGGAAAATTTATTTTGACATGCGAAATATCAATAATGTATTTACTTAAGACAAAAAAAAATGATAGTAAACAAGAAGATTACTTGAGAAAATAAATATATCAATAGATTCTTTCATCAATCATAGGAGATGTGTTGAAAGATGCAATAAAAGATATCATTATAGAGTTATTGACATAACATGGAATGTCTATTTTCTTTTTTTTCCTAAACTCGAACACTTTTTGATGGTATTGTTGTATGACGATTTATATTTTGTCGACATTGTTGTTCATGTTGAATTAAAAGATTTCGATCAGATGAAACCTTTTTATGACAATTTGTACAATGAGTCAAATCATCAAAAAAAGGATCACTATGAAATGGTGAATATGATGATGGAATATGTACACGATTTTGTTGTTCATATAAATCAATTAATTCATTAAGAAACCAATCTTTTGCCATTGTTGAATGTATTACAGGAATACTGTTTATTGGAGAAGATTTTGGTGTTGAACGTTTATGATGATGATGATGATGATGTTTAGAACGAGTATTTGAAGCTGGTTGAAATAAACGATCATTATTGAAATAGATTGGTGATGAAGCATATATGTCATGATTATTTTCAGGATTATTATTCATTGTATCAAATATATAAGTATATAAATTACGATAACTTGGAGAATTCATCATTTTTGATGTAAAATCTGATTCTTGAAAAAATTGTATGTCATTTAATATATCAAATGGATCAATAGGATTAGGCATAAAATTATCAAATGCATGAAGATGAAATGCATCTAAAGAAAAAAGAAATCAATAATAAAAAAGTTTTTCATTCATAAATGCATGTCCAATTTTTATTTTACCTTCATTTGGTTGTGTATAATTCATATTTGTTGTTGTTTCATATCGTTTATTTTGCTTTTGTTGAGATGATATTAATTGTTGTTGATCATACTCACGTCTTTGATTTTCATCACTTAATACTTCATAAGCTTGTTTAATTTTCTTAAACTTTTCTTCAGCACCTTTATCTTTATTGCGGTCTGGATGCCAGATAAGTGCCAAACGTTTATAAGCTTTACGAATATCAATTGATGTCGCATGTCGATTAATGTTTAATTCCTTGTAATAATCAACTATTGATGAACTCGAAACCATTTTGTAAATTTCTTGTTGAGTAAATTAAAAAAAAGAAAAGATGGAAGAATGACTGTGAGATAAATAACAAAAAATATATTTTATGCTCTGTCCTTCTATTCAACAATCTAATGAATAGCGTAACAAGTATGCAGTATACTTGTTCTTATTGATGAACAAGAATATATATATATATATATATGTGTATTCAATGTAAAATTTGGTAATAAAAAAGAAAAAAAGAGAGAAAAACGAAGCATGAAGGTAAATGAAATGAAGGTATAGAAGTCCTTCGTCATCTTTTTCTCTTTATGCAAAAACATGATGGTTACGCTTGACCTACTACTGATCATGATTATGGTAAAGATGAAATACATTTTAGTACGCTCATATTGTTATTTGAACACTAATGAACATACTACGAAGTAACGGTTTATTGAATCTTACGTAAGAAAGAAAAGGATTCGATCGGTTAAAAACAAAATTTTGTTACTTTTTCTTTTTCTTTTTCTTTTTCTTTTCTTTTTTCTTATTACCTATGCAAAGAGAAAATATTACATCTAATTAGTTTGTTTTAGATTCTAGAAAATTTGATGATAACAAGTGATTGTACACGAAAGATAGTATTCTCAATATTTCTTATTTTTAAATGATCATCAAGATTTTACTCAATGATTTATATTATAAATAGAGTGAATAGTTTTATCGATATGCTTTGCTAAAAGGAATATAATAATTACAGCTTGATTTTGATTGATTAGAAATTTTATATGGTATACTAAAATCCTTGACTAATTGTTTAGATTCAATCTTTAACAATGAATGATTCGACAGACTACAGAACAAATGAATTGAAATTCGTCACTTGTTTGTCAATTTAATTTTAATTTCAATCGATTATTTCTTTTTGTTTTATGAGTTAGTTTTAAACATTCATAAAAATATATTTGAATCATTATACCAATTTAAATCATTTTTAACAAAGAACAAGATAGCTGAAAAAGGAAGTCCTTTCATGATTGTTTCTAAACTTTGTATAGATTAACATAAAAAAAAAGAATGATTTTATGTATGGCTCGTAAAACTTACTGAGGTTAGGATAAATCAATACTGTGTACTTCCAATATGTCAATGTTATAGATAATGCAGAACTCTTTTTTGTTTCTATGAAAATTTATTCAAAAAAGTTCTAGAAGAAGCTTCCTAATATACAAAAGACATTATATCAATGTCCTTATTTTATAAACATGTGTTTAATAGGAAACTCATTTTAATAATTTAATTATTCCTTCGACAACTTTCAATATATTATTCGGTGGTAGGTTCTTGGACTATTCTATTAACACTCGTATTCAATGAACATTGGAACGAAGAATCGATACGAATCTAGTAATGAAAAATAATTTGAGCAATAAACTAAGGTGGTGGAAAAAAGTTTAACAACAACATATTTTTTTTTTCAGCAATGCTAAGAAGTGAGCTCAAATCTAGATAGTGATCTGATAGTTGATGGATTTTTCTATATAACAAAGTCAGTAGCAAGATTTCATAGATGAACTATGATGACAAGGTTTTAAAAAACTGGAAAACAGTAGTTTTCAAGTTCCAGAAGACTTCATCGGAGTTATTTTTCTAGAACACTGTCATTTTAACGCATACGAAGTTCTGAGAAAACTGAAGGATTGCTGCATTGTCCACGACTTTCTCTTCAGAAGTTAAAAATATCATAAAAATAGTAAAAAAAGAAAAGGACTAAAAAATGACTCTTTTTTGATTTTTGTGATGTTTCTAATTTTTTTAAAGAAAAGTCATGGAAAATGGGGCGCCTTCCAATGTCCTCGACTATTAAAATCACTATTTGGATTTGAGCTGATTAACTAGCGTCATAGAAAAAAATAAAAAAATACGTTCTTGTTAAACTTTTTTCCACCACATGATAGTATAATACTCTAAATTCTGAGCTATGGAACTCATTTCCATCCAACCAAGAGCGTCCAAGAGTTGATTGCACCGCAGTCTTCTTTTTTCAGCCTAGCTCCCGTGTTTTATTGTTTTCTTACCACCAAGTTCCAAAAATATCCAACTCCCCTTCTGCAAAATGAGTCAAATTGAGCAAAAACTCCCTTTCGAGCTCCAAAGCCCTAGACTTTCTTCCAATTCTAGCGGCTATAGAACACTTTTGCATTCGATACTAAAACAAATACTGACATTTAATATTCTATTATTCCGATACTAACCTAGATGGTTTGATTATTTAAACTTTGTAATAATAATAAATATTAGTCTGATGATGTCGTGCATATCTTGAATATATACGCAGATGTCGCAAATATTTCATTGTTTATAAATTAGACGAATTATATTCGATTTATTAAAAGAAAAAGAAAGAAAAAAAAATGTCTTTGTTTTGTTCATCGTTCATCTTTAAAAACCATTTTCAATTGTCTGATATTCGTTTTCGATATTACACATTAAATAAAAATGCAAAATACAGTTCGAGACTATCAAGCTGATAAAAGTAAACATTAACATATATATATATATATCTTAAATTTTACTTTTCTTCTTTTATTATTTAGATAAAATAAAAGATTTTCTTAATGAATTCGAAATTGATACAGCTGATGGTTATAAAGCATCAAAATATGTTAAGCAATTGGTAAAATTAAAAAATTGTTTTTTATATCGTTAATTCAATTCTTTTTTTTCATTTGAATTCTTCAGAGGAATTTAGCTAATCGTGAACAAACAACATTAGTCATTGATATCGATGATATTGCTACAGTTGATCCTGAATTAGCTGATGCTATCATTGAAAATAGTCGTCGTTATACACAATTATTTTCTCAAGTTGTTCAAGAAATGTTACCTGAACTTAAAGATAAAGAAGTAGTTTTTATTCAATTAGGAAAAAAAAGAGAAAACGAAATTCAATTAATTATTAATATTTAGATTCAAAATAAAGATGTTCTTGATGTTTATATTGAACATCGTACATTAATGGAACAACGTATGCATCATAATTCTGATGAGACACGTGCTCCAATGAATCATTATCCAGAAGAATTAATGAGACGATTGTAAAATTGAATGTTGATATAGATTTTTTTATTTTTATTAATGAATATTTTTTGTTTTTCTTTTTCAGTGAGTTATATTTCAGAGCTCCACAAACACAAAAATTTTTATCTGTTCGTCAAGTGAAAGCAAATCATATTGGTAAATTAATATCAGTTAAAGGTGTTGTTACACGTACAACTGAAGTTAAACCAATGATAAGTGTAGCGACGTATACATGTGATATATGTGGTGCCGAAACTTATCAACCAGTAGATATTCTTTATTGATACATAAATATTAATTTAATAAAAATACTTTTATTTTTATTTTTAATTAATAGATAACGTCACCAACCTTTATGCCACTTGTTATGTGTCCCAGTCAAGATTGTGTAACAAATAAATCTGGTGGACGTTTGTCATTACAAACACGTGGATCAAAATTTATTAAATTTCAAGAAGTTAAAATTCAAGAACAAGTAAATTCAATGCAAAAACTAAAAAGAGAAACAGATATTTTCTTTTCTTTCTATTTAATCGATGCTTTGCGTAATATATTCACTTACTATTCGGCCATTTAAAAGTAAAATGTTAGAGCTAGAAGCAGTTAGTTGGAATCAAACTTTTAAGCTTTTTCTGAGTGTGTCTTCAGAATTTTCTTCTACGATAAGATTGAACAACTATCATCAAAAGATCCAAAATTATGATTGTACAGAATACTACTTTTGGTCAAATTTCTATTACGATTGAAATCTATCAAAGTTAAAATGCGAAACAAGCTTTAATGATTCGTATGGTAAGGCTCCGAATCGATTAATCGGTTTTCAGTCGAGACTATATATGTATCATGTAGACACAAATGAATTTTGCTTTTCAAATTTCGACTTCGAACTTAGTATAGAGACTGACTTAAATGAGATTAGTTTATTGTAAATGCTTCAGATCTTGTCGTTGTTCCTATTCTAAGATATAGAGATCGAATATTTTTTAGAATATTCAAGACTCATTTGAGTCTACATGATGAATATTTTATCTCGACAATTTTGTAGAATTATGATTGCTGTGCGAACCGTGTTATTTACTTTGGCATGACAAATTTTAAGACTTTTCAATTTTAAAAGTAGTTTTTGAAAGAGCGATGTTTTTATCGATGCTGATTTTTAAAGAAATTAACTCTTACTGGAAACACATGGATCGAATTTTGTTTATTGTTGTGTCTCATTTTGCACAGAGTTCAGTATTCTAAAACAATATGGAATTGAAGCTGTTTCAAGATACAAAGTAAGAATGGTGCCAAAACTATTGTTTTGTTTTAAACAGATACAGTTTTGGATTTTATCACAAAGTTTAACTGAAGGTTGTTCAGTTTCATCTCAGAAGCAAACTCTGAATACATAATCGGAAAGAGCGAGAAAAAATCTGATTCTAACTAATTTCGTCTGGATCTAACTAATTGTCTTTTAATGGTGAAAACATGAGCAAATATTTTATGTCAAAACCTTCACATCATGAATTATAAAGATTTTGTTTAGACAGATCAGGTACCTGTTGGTAATATTCCACGTTCAATGACCATATGGTGTCGAGGAACAAATACACGTTTATGTCAACCAGGTGATCATATTGCTGTTAGTGGAATATTTTTACCTTTGCTTCGAACTGGTTTTCGTCAAATGACACAAGGTCTTTTATCAGATATATTTCTTGAAGCACATGTAAGTGAATTCTATAAAGTGTGACTTAGTAATTCAATCTTGGCTATTATTCTTTGTAGAGAATTGTGTTATTGAATAAAACTGAAGACGAAGAAATAGAAGATAGCGAAATGAATGAAGCTGAATTAGCTGATTTATTTGCTGGTTTGTTTTATTTAAAATATATTTAATTAGGATTTTTATTTTTTCTTAACAAATAGAAAAAGATTTATATGATCGTTTGGCCATGAGCATAGCACCAGAAATT